CCTTCCTGTGTAGACAGAGCCTTGTGGTGGGGAAGAAACCACTGCCCAGCTCCTGGCTGCAGACGGCTATCATGATGTTCTTGGTTGCTCTGCATAGCTCCCATGGAGCATGAAGCCCACTCTCTGAATGGAGTTTTCCTACTAATAAACTCCAAGCACATCAGGAGTCTGACTTTGACAGAAGCTTACTCTTTGGGGCTGAGCATCCCTGAGCCTAGATCTTTTTGGTGTGGGGTTTGGTCAGTCAAGGTTCCCCATGATTTCACAGGTCAAAGGCATGGTCTCAGAGAGTACAAGGCTTGAAAGGTGGTCTGTGAGACACAAGGTCAATTGCAGGTCTCTATTTACACAGGGCCAGCACTGCTCCTTTGGGTATCAAATGCATGGTCTATATGGGAAATGGGTTACACTCAGCTGAATTCAGCAATGTGAGCATGGGACCATATAGCAGGATGGGTCCCTAGTGTGCTATCCTAGTTAATTTTCTCTTGCTGGTGAGACAAAATAACAGACACCCAGATTTTAAAAGGGGATGGTTTATTTAGTTCACAGTTTGGAATGGTTTCAGTCCATTACCTGCTGGCTTCAAGGTAGGAAGGGACATGGCAGAGGCCAACAGACCATGTCAGTGGAAAATGGTAAAAACAATAGGTGAGGAGGGGAGAGGAAGTCTCTTTTCATCCCTTACAATGTAAGCAGGTACTAACCCTAGGGCAGGTATGCCACAAACATTCTTAATCTCAGCATTAGACCATGAATCCATCACAAACTTAGTTTCAGCGATTTCTGGAAAAACTGTGCTCCTGTGTCTACATGAGGCTTTGGGGGTACATCCAGACAAAAAATGTAACATGTGCAATATATATACTGCCAGTGAGAGATGGTATAGCCTTTTGACCTGGCTCTAAAGCAGGGACTTCAATCCAGAATCCCGATACTCACTGCTTAATTTCTCAAGAACTGTCCTGTGTACATAAGAAGCCCTGCTGCCTAATAGCCCACTCAGGTGGCCATGAGTCACCAGCAGGAAATAGGAATAGGGATGGTGGCGTTTCAGGCCTTAGATGCAGAGCAGAGGCCAGGCAACCCAGGTAGAGGGAATCTCACTAGGGCTCTGAGGAAGGCCTTATGGGGGCTGATAAGTGAGCCTGAGCTGGTTCAGGGTTTTGGGAACCACAATGTAAGAATAAATGGGTAGGGGAAGGTGGATGAGATCTGCTTCCAGAAGGACGCAGCCTGGCTTTCCCACCAGGCCAGCAAGCCCCAGGTGCTATCAGAAAGGCTGCCATGTGGAACTGCAATAAAGGACCTGGTTCATCATATGGCTGGTGGCTTCTGTGTTGTCACTAGAAAAGTGAATCCTTTCCCACTTAGGCAATCCCAAAGGAGACAAAGTGAGACCTCCTGGTCTGCTGCCTGGCCGGCTGGTAGCTTTGAGGGCTTCCTGGATCATAAATGCTAGTGAACACCTCTTACTGACTACCTGTTCAGTGGGTCTGGGTGTCCCTACCAACCCTACCATGGAGGAACAGGGTTATGAGACAGGATGTGGCCCCTCCAACCTCACTGTGCAGGGCTGACACTGCAGCTCTATGTGCAGCCTGTGCTTCCAGAAGATGCCAGGTCTCTGTGCTGTATTCACATCTCTGGGAGGCTTTGTGGGAGTCCTGATGGTCCCCTTTTCTGCTTGTCTGAGATCTCAGAAGCTTCTTGCACACTACTGGGCACTGCACCAACTGTGCTGCCCCAAACATCAGCCTGGAGCAGGTCCCTCCAAGGCTGCAATACACATATGTGTACCACAGTGGGGCCTCCCAATAACAACAGATGCCAGCAGGGGGAGAGTGTGAGCTGAGGTGACTCTGTAATGAAGCCACAGTAGGACAGGGGATCTTCAGGGTCAGATTACACCTTCAGAACCTCCCTCCAGTGTATAGTAAATAGCAGGCCTGTGGTACTGCCTCCAAAGGAAACTGGGGTCTATGACGTCAACTATCACATTCTCTCTGCTCAGCCACTAATTCAGCCAAGTGCCAGGTCACTGTCCACACATTAGTGGAAGCATCAAAATAGAGACATGGACATAAAGTCACTTCACTTCCTGTCATGATTTACTTTACTTCCACTGTTTTAGTTCACTGTAACGCCTGGGCACAGCTATCCCTTTGGCACTGGCATGACTGTGCTTCTACCATACCCCCCGCTCTGACACATCATCACATCAGAAGAGGTGCACTCATCCAAAATCTAGGCCCTTGCTACTTTGCCCATGTCTCAGGGTAAATATACAGGCCCTCAGGTCAGAGGTTAGGGGCACACTAGGCTAAATGACATTGTACCAGGAGACAGTGCACATAGCCACTCAGCCTTTCTTGGCTAAGGAAACTGGACACATTTTCTTCAGCAGCACCACAGGGAAGTACCCTGTGTGTTATCACATACAGGTCTCCACTCCCACATCCAGGACAAGCCTATTTTCTCATCTCTAGAATGTGTGGTTGTCACATGACATGTGGGCATATACTCTTCATGTAGGAAGTTAATGACTTATTTGCTCACAACTGATCTGAAAATGCTATTATTTCTAAATGCTCCTTATGAAATTTAACTTTTGAGTATCACTACAGCTTCCAGCACTCACGGTGGGGCGTGGCTGGGCCATTAACTCTAGGCTTCCTACTTTCTCATCACAGACTGCAAATCACTCAGTGTAGAACTTGGTGGTGGTGGTGTGCACAGTGAGGGTGGCACAGGCAGAAGGGCTGCACAGCCTGATGGAGCCCCTGGAACAGGACTTTCTGCACAGCTGCCCTATCCACAGCTCTTCCTTTTCAGGTCCCTCAAGGGCCAACATTTGCACCCCACAGGCCCTGATGGTGGGATAGTGAGTTTGCTCTCAGCTGCACAGTGTGACTCGGCCACCTAGAGCTGAGTCTTTGAAACGTGCTTACATCTCTCAGCCTCACTTCACTGAGAACTGAGAATTATACCCTGTAATAGTGCAATTCTCAGAACAGTAAATTGTACTTATGGCCAAGCTTATAGGGTCCCTATGGTACAAAATGGGGTTTCCAGGCAATTGCTGACACCAACCAAGGCTCTATGGAAGGCCTGCTGGAGTAGCTGTGTTTATTCTCCATTGAGTTGCTCTCTCCATGGTAAAGGTTTGTTTCTCCTGCACTGACCCCTACACTGAGTATACATTCTCTCTTCATTGTAGAGGAGATTGGACAGTTGCTCTATGGGATTTGGGAGGTATTATTCAGAGCCAGATTCTCTGGGGGCTGGCAGAGGCATCAGGCCCTTTTAGACATCAGGGCAGGAACCAGTTGGTACCATGAGTACATGAATATACATAGAGCTATACCATGCACAGACACTTTTCCAGGCACTGACCACGATCCAATGACCAGGAAAGATATATGTACTCCCCTCTTGACCTTCCACATTAGTGGGGGCTACACTTCATGGCAGATCATCTACCACTAACATTATAGTACATAAGACCCCCTCTTGGCTTCCCTAGACATGGATGCACAACAGTGAAAGAGGAGCCTAGAGGAAGCACAGAGTACTGGGTGGCAAGTCACTGAGCAATCTAATGACTGAGGAAAGATGGAACAAGACACATCCTTCTGTCATCTCACTTCTAACATACTTACGGAAAACAACCGCTGTACCACAGCAGACAGTTTTCCATCCCCCATGAAGGCAACATGCCACTGGAGAGCACTAGACAGATGTGTGTCCAGCTTCCCTGGAGAAGGGAGAGATGGTCACACCAGTGTAAACAGACTCTCCCTTGGAGTCATCTGTCAGTCTCTCAGGGCTCTCTGGACCAAGACTGATTCACTGGTGGTGGAGATAGAGTGGAACTGGCTCTCCACAGCTGGAGCAGCAGGCAGGTGTCCAATTCATCAGGTTGCCTTGGGCAAGCAGTTTGGGATTGCGGACTAGACCTCATACTCAGCTCCCCACACCTGTCTCCTTCAGAACCACAGCCCTGCTTCTTAGCTCTAAGCAGCAGCTGCCAACCCAAATGAACCTTCCAATGCAACTTCACCTTGCTGAGATTGAGCATTATGAACACATTGAGGCAGAAATAAAGGTGAGGAGGACTGGTAAGGTATGTGGGTATGTGAGGAGGACAAGGCTAAGGGACCACCCTGAAGCTCTGAGACACACAGGAATCAGTGGGTGGATGCAGTGTGGGAAACTTCCTGATAGTGGATTTGTGCACAGAGCTGTCTCTGACAGGCACTGGGAAATTTGTTTGCACTGCAAGGAACATGGGAAATTGATGATCTTTTCCCCTTGTGCTGTTGAAGGGTCAGCTGCACACCAAGCTCAAGGACCAGCTGCACAGTCTGCACCTGATCCATCTCCAGTGCCTTCACCAACTCTGGGAACACAGGAAGAGCCAGCACCATGAAGCCCATCTCTGTCAGCTCAGAGGTATGACTAACAGGGGCTCCATGGCAGGTGGCAGCTCCTCAACTCCCCTGAGGCCAGCTCCTGCTGAAAACTTGAGTTTCCCATCTCCTCCACTATTTTTCCATTTTCTGGCCCTTACCTCTATACTCTTTTTAAATATTATGGCATAAATTAATTTTGAACAAACGATAGGATGTCATTCACTTTCATTAGCATACTCAGTGAGTGGCATGCACACATTCTCAATATGAACAATCTTCATTTTTGCCCAGTTCCAGAACATTTCCTACAACTTCATTCCCATTTGGACACATTTCCCTCTCTTCCCTGCCAGCCCCAGCCACCACTGATCTTTCTGCCTCTGTGATTTAGTACTCTAGGTTTTCACATCAGTGCATCACAGCTTGTTTGGCCAAGCATTAATGGAAGAGACTAACTATTTTTCTTTGATAAAGGGGACAGTCCCAGATAGATTCCATTTATAAATAAAACTTAAATACATTCATCTTTGAGGTTGGAATTGCTTCTCCATTTGTTTTGTGAGGAAAGAGACAAACACTTGCAATGCAAAAGGAAATCTGCTCATATGGCCAACAAGTTTACAAAATGCGCTGAAGATACATTCAGGGCCATGTCATTGAGTTGTGTTGTGTCCCCATTTGCCTTCAGGTTTTAAGGTAAGTGGGGAACAGCAGTGGGGAGAAAATGGGGTGGGGGAAGCAGAACCATTTCCCTCAGCTCCCATCAGAGCTCTACACAGTGTCCCTGTACCTCTCTGAACTAAGCATAGAGGTTTCTCCCACACAGAGAGCTGCACAACAACAACACAAAAAAAAATAAAGAAAAATATGCATAACATTTTAACTTTCTTTTCAAGATTGTTGTTCACAGCACTTTTAGAACAGGAAGGAACGAGGACCCTCCCTACCTTGCAGGTAGAGAGTGCAGGGCACCAGTGCAGGCCAGAGAAAGCAGGGAAAGCTTCAGGGAAGCTGAGCTCAGTATCTCTAGGCCCACAGAGGAAGAGGCCAAGGAATCTGATCATGAAATTACCATTGATGCAAGATGGATTTGTGTGTGGAAGATCTCAGTTTTTACAATGAAATATCTCTGCCATCATATGCATACACACAGAGATATGCGTGAGACAAACAGAGTGACAGAGGCAGAGTGAGGCAGAGCCTTGGATACTTGCGCATCACTTAATGAATGGAGCTGCAAAGGACTGGAAATGTGAATGCTCTTCTTTGTTTTACTCTCAGATTCCTTTATCATACAATGTCATCTTTGGGTAGGGAAGTGGCACAGGGAACTAACACAATCCTGGTGACATAGATAAATATACCAAGATTTTTTTCTCTTTTTCTAAATCTGTCATTTGTAATAAGAGAGCATGTATTAATGGCATACAAATAGTTCTCCAGTAGCAGAGTCCTCCATGGGCTTGTCATTAGCAGGCTCAGAAGACAGAAGAAGGGTGGGAGAAGCAGATCAAGGTCCATATAAAGGTGGAAATGGCATTTACCCTTAGTTGAAAAAAATGTCCCCTGAGACTACTTACTTAAACCAGAGATGCCACCTCTTCCCAAGGTGTGTGTGTGGGGGGGGAGCACAGAGTACAAGTCTGGGTAGGAAGAGAGCCAGGGCTCAGCTGTGTGAGAGGGGATCACAATGTACTATCAGGGCCATTAGGATGAGAGGTCTGCCATACACCAGCTCCTCTCTCCTGTCCGTGCCTGCTGTGAGCACCTGTGTCTCTTCACTGCTGGGTGGAGAAAGGGCCAAGCCATAAGCTTTCTGTCATCTCAAGTAAGACTGGGGACATGGCCTAGAACATGGCCTTCTTTCAGCATTTTCTGTGCCTGTAAGTTTATAATTCACTCAGCAGTTTTGCTGTGTGCTATGTTCATGGTTTCTAATTTTTCACACCTTACCTGAATACAAAAGAATACGGGTGTCTTTCATTCTCACTTTTTATAATGAAGACTTAGCAGTACATTTTCCAGGTTAAATGTATACATGTTGACTGTCATAGTCACAGATTTCAAACCTGAAGTCTCCACATTGAGTTGCAGCCTGGAAGAGGAAGTCCAGGGATGCTCAGATCTCTGTGGAAATCTTATGTCAGGGGAAAGTGGGCCAGGCAGTGGTAGAGAACACCTTGGCACCAGGCCTGAGGTCCAGGCCTCCTGACCCTCAAGTCAGCTTCTCAGCAAAGCAGCATACACTGCACACTGGACAAAAGAAGGCTGGAATGCCCCTACTGCCAGAGCTCTTCCCTGTAGGCCTGAGGCCCCCTGTCTCACTCAGGGAAGCACTATATGAAAAAGTCAGTCTGTTACACAGCCAATACTGACTGAATGTATTCCATCCAGGTGCAGATCTCAACTTCCACATGTGGATGCACCACAGCTGTGGAGCAGGACAGGTGTTGACAGGGAGCAGGTCAGGAGGTGGTGACACTGCAGACAGGTCAGTTTATGAAGCCTGAAATAATAGACAGGCACCTGATCAGCTTCAGTTTCCTTCAGCAGTAACCACTCAACAAGAACATTTTGCATTAAAAGTCTAAGTAACTGAAAGGAGTTACTGCCAAAATATATACTGTAGGATTAGTTGGAAGATACAAAAGTAAATGGCTGCATCCCTAAGTAAAATGAGACATGACCCTTAATGGGAATGTGGTCTCCTTTGGTGTCACTGACCCACATCCAACAGGAACAAACACACTGATGAACAGAGCAAAAATGAATATAGGCAATGGGTCAACAATCAAAACTCATTAATAACAACAACAAAACCCATAAGATAAATGACTCAGTGAATTTTTTCAAGTCTATAATAATGAATAAATAGCAATCACTATTGGATTCTTCCTAGAAATTGGAGGGAAAGAACCAACACGAACTTCTTTTAGATGACAAAGTCACCTTGAGAATGAAGCCAGACAATATTGTATTGAAAAATGAAATAAAAACAATTGAAAACTCCTTACTGACCAATATTCCTAATGAACATAAGCAAGATTATTCAGCTAAATGCTTGTCAGATAAATTTGCAAGCACATGCAAAATTAAAGCACCATGATCAACACTCAGCTCAATCTCAGTGATGCAACAACCATCCCACTATAAAAACCATTGAGCATCTCTTGCCACTTTCACAGAATGAGACAGAGCTAACCCTTCAATAGATTTGGAAAAATAGCTTTGAGATATTCTGAAGTTTAACATTTTGTCATGGTAAGAACTACTCACACACCATGTATAGGAAGAATGGAACTCAGGACAGCAAAGATGATACATGAGAAGCTCATCCCTGACATTGTGCTCAGAGCCTGACAAGCTGCAAGATTTTCTTCTCAGATCAGGAACCAGACAAGGCTTGCAGCAACTTTTAACACAGTACTCCAAGTTCTAGCCCTAGAATTTACTCAAGAATAAGAAATGAATGGCTTCCAAACCAGAAAGGAAGAATTAAGCACTGTTTCTGTTTCCTGAGGACACAACCTTTCATATAAGAAACTTATATCTTCACTGAAAACCTTTTAGAACAAATTCAAAAATCACATAATGTGCAGGGTACAACATCCACAGGTCCTAAACAATTCATATCTATGTGCTTCAAACAAACTGCAACCTCAAATACAAAGAATACAATTCATTTCATAATTCATCAAATAGAATTAATGCTTAGGAAAAATTTAACCAAACTCACATGTTCTTTAAAATTTGTAGAAATTGATGCAAGCAGTACAATAGCACTAACAGAATAAAACACATACCATGATGGCAGATGGGAAGAATTCATGTTGTTATAATGTACATGCTACCCAGACCAGCCAGCCTTTTCAAAGCATTTCTGTCAAAATACCGCTGATATTTTCCTAGAAATAAAAAAAAAAAACAATATGAAAATTCACAAGGAAGTACAAAGTGTCATCCTCTAGCCATGTAAAGAACATTATATGTAGAAGCACAAAATACCTTGTTTTCAAATATATTATAAAGTGACAGCAGTCAAAAGGGTCTTATACTGAAAGAATAGGATCACAGATGAAAATGACTAGCCCAGAGACAAACCAACTCATAGAGTCACCAGGAATTTGGTTTTGTTTCTTCATTCCATTCCTGTCCTTTCCTATATTTTCCTTTATTTTTTCTTTTCAGGTTCTCCCTCTGTCGATCTGTCCTGAGGTGAAATCAGAGTGTGTTGCAGGCTTGTCTGGAACTCCCGGTAATCCTGCTGCCTTAGCAGCCTGAATGCTGACATTGCAGGTATTTTCACCATTCCTTGCTCAGCCAGTGAGTTTTTAATAACACCAGGATGAAACCACGTCTGGCAGTGTGTCTTGTAATCCTATCACTCTGGAAGCCTGAGGCAGGAACATCACAAATTCAAGGATAGACTCACCAACTTAGCAACTTATTGAGAAACTCCTCAAAAAAGGAAGACTTTTGGGGCTGGGGATTTAGCTCAGTGGCATAAGTGCTTGCCTTGCAAGCAGGCAGTCATGAGTTAGATCCCTGGTACTGATAAAAACAAAAAAGACTAAAAGGAAGACTTTTAAAAGTGCAGTGTAATAAAGCTAAATGCAAAAGCCCTGTATTCAATTTCTAGAAACTGAATGGAAAACCTAAACCATAACCAAAACAAAACCTTGGAAAGTAGAAGGGAAGGCAACAATGCTTTATCCTGGCCAGGCCTTCTGGAGGGCAGTGCGCCCCAAGTAGCCTTATCCTTCACAGCTTTCTTGGGATTTGAAACCAATCATCAATTTCCATGAGTGATCAGAGAAAAAGAGAAAGTGCTTTGGGGATATCAAGCCTCAGTCCCCCAGCAGAAGGCATTTGGAGTGAGCTTCTGAAGTGCATGCTGACCACAGTTACTGTTAAAAATCAGTGACTCTACCAATATTCTTAATGGGAATTTCAGTACTACTCATTGTGAAAGAAATTGCAGATTATGAAGGTGGTAGATAGCTTAACTAGATGGATTCTTTCTACAAAGTCTAAAGATCAAAGTCAAATATTTTATTCCATGAATATGCAAAATTGTTTGCCAATTGCTGGCTCAGAATAATGTACACCTGTAATCCCAGGCCTCTGACAGCATGAAGAAGGATGATGAAGGGTTTAAGCCTAGCATGGGAAACTCAGAAAACTGGTGAGACTATGTCTTAAAATCTTTAAAAACAAAATTTTACAAATGTATGAAATTATTGATCATTAAGAAATCCTAGAAATCACTGTGCAAGGTACATTAACCACTGTTATTCTACAATTATTTTATCTTTATGAAGAGTTAAAAAGAGTATCTTGTTATTAAAAAGAGTCCTTGTTATTGTTTCAGAAAAATAGCAATCCCTTGATCAACTTCTGATTCTAAATATAAATTTAGGAGAGGAAAAAAAGCAATGATCACATTCTCTTCACACTGAGCTACCCAAATCCTAAGAAAGTATATTCGGTAGCATATCTGCAGTCATCTCTGTAAAATATTCAAAAAAATTGGGGCTGGGGGTTTAGCTCAGTGGCATAAGCGCCTGTCTTTAAAGCAGGCAGTCGTGAGTTCAATCCCCAGTACTGGTAAAAAGGAAAACGACAAAAAAAAAAAAAAATCAAAAAAATTGAAACAATGCAAACCTGGAAGCACATCAATGTCTACATGATGGTAAACCTTATGCTAGGTGTGATGACTAAAGTACATTTGCAAGAAAAACACATATGTTTTTATTCTGAATTCACAGGTGATATTTGACTGTATTTTTAAACATTTTAATTTTTCTCTTTTTTTCTTTCCCACTTCTTTCTTTCATTCTTTTTTTGAGATTGGGTTCTGCTATGCAGTTGAAGCTGGCCTTGATCTTCACTTGTAGCCCTGGATGACCTCAAACTTACAACAACCCCCCTGTCTCAACCTCTGAGAACTGAAATGACAGGTGTGTACCAACAATACTGAATGTGTTTTCCTTTTAAAATTTTCTCCAAAAAATCTTACTCAGAATTATGTGATATTCTTATATTTTCTCAGATTGAATATAAAAAATCAAATCAGAAACCACAGAAAATACAGTTTCAAAATCCTCACCAACATATAACATAATGTAATGTAGTATAGCATAGCACAGTGTACCATAATAAAACAAAACAAAAAGCAACCACCTAACTCTGCTTTAAACAACTGCTTCCAAAGATACTTTAAGAATTTCTAAGTAAGCCATAAACTAATAATATAATCCATTAATTTCATATTTAAGTTGTTTTTCTTTAAAATGAAAGACTGCATCCACTCAAGCACATGTATAAGAATGGCTGTGGCAGCTTGCTTTCAGGGGTTGACCCAGAAACAGAAGAAATGGCCATCAGCAGATGGGTGAGGGGTGCATGAACAAGTGACAGCTGGTTTTGTTCAGCCCTCCAATGGCATGTGGTGGCAGCATCCTGGGAACCCAGGATGCAGACACTGCTTGAAGGAGACCAACCAGCGAGCATTTTGCCTGATCAGCCTCAGGGCCATCACCTCTAGGTGAGGCCATCACCTCTAGGAAAGGCAAACTACCCAGCAGGGACACAAAGCCCATGGTCTGTTTGGGGTGGGTGGACTAGAAGTGATATCAGTGGCTATGAGACAAGTTCCCCAGGAGTGATGTGCATGTGTCCTTCCTCAGCATGGGGTGATGATGTTCATGGCCTTGGAAAGCCTCCCCTTGTAATCACCATCTGCTCTCCCCTCCACAAAATGTCAGAGTATGGAGCTACAGTGTGTGGCTGAGTTAAATATCTAAGGATGAATAAGTAATCACTCATAGGCCCATGAGAGTAAAACTTGCTAGGAATCCTCATCCCCTAGACAGGAGGAGGTTATAACATGAAATGTTCACATACTTCAAAGAAAATTATTATGGTTATTCAGGGAACATCTCCATACTCCTTAATGGAGTTGAAATGAAACTAACATAAGCCAAAGAAAGAAACTCATCCTAAAATTTTACAGATCTCTAAGTGAAGCCTAATTCTCAAAGAGAAAACTTTTTGGATGGAAATGTGCACTTGGCACCCAGCCTTCCACTTCCAAAGCATCTACATGTTTGTTGTATGAAATATTTTAAAGTGAAGAAAAGTGTAAAACCACATTCTGTTTTCTAGTTTTTCACTTGCCATTTCTAAGGAACACAAATTTGTTCCACAATAAAAAGAAAGGAGGCATCAGAGGGGGAAGCCCAGCTATGGACCCCAGCACATGACACAACTTCCTTGGCAACAGGTCTAAACAGATTTGAAGGTTCTGGTTACAAGACACTATTTTCTGGTGGCAGTTGACCTTCACCAGCACTTGGCTCATGAGAGTGACCAGTGAATATGCTGTGCTGCTTTCTGAGGCTTTGAAGCCCAAGCCTCTTGACCCTGCATGGGAAAACCACATGCAAATGAGTGAAAGGATGGTTCACTGGGCCAAGATGTTTCAGGAAGCTCACCGGGAACTGCCTAAAATCAAGGGCAGCCCAGGGCAGGGCCCAAGAGCCCCAATTCTCAAGACACCAGAAACAAGAGGGAGCCCAGGACAGGTGTCCCTATGATCAGCCACCAGCCACTCAGAGACACCAACTAGAGGACATTACATTAAGGGCTGGCCACTTCTGTGAGTTCTCCTAAACAATTCACATCCTAAATCATCAGTGTAAGGGCTTTGAAGACAGTCAGTGAAGACAGATGCTCTGGGGCAGGGGCAAGTGTTGGGAAGTGTGAGCCTGTGCTCCTGTCATGTTCCTACCCAGGACAGGGCTGGCAGGAGGAGAAGGGCAGCACCCATGCTTATCCAGAGCCTCCAGAGTCATCTCCTGTCCTCCTGGGTAGAAGTCTGGGACAGAGCTGTTAGTCTTTGAGGAACATAAGGTTATCTGGGTTCACAAGTGAAACCTGTGGTGTCTCAGAGTCTCAGGCTTCCTGTTGGCTACTGGGCACTGCCCCAACCATGCTGCACACAGGACATTGGCATGGAGGTGGACCCTGTGTGCCATATCCCTGCTCCAGAGATGGGACCCACAATAACAGGAGGTATTGGCTCCAGTGCAGAGTATGTGACCAGAAGGGAATGTATGGAGGCCCACACATGACTAAGAGGAACTTTGGGCCTGATTAACACTTCCAACACCTCCATCCAGGGCTTGTCAAATACTAAGCCTATGGTCTTGCTCCAAAAGAATCTGGACTGCAAGTGCTCAACTACCATATCCTCTCTATTAAGCCTCTACCTCATCACAGGCAAGGTCACTGTATGCATATTGATGGAAGAGGAGAAAGGGAACAGACGCAAAATCATTTCATTTCTTGTCATGAATGAATTCTGCCATTGTAACTCATTTTCTGTACTGGGCCTGGTGTCCAAGGACCATTAGCAAGGTGTCTTCCTCCACTGTCTCCAGCTCTTACACAGCATCACCTCACCAGATGTGTGCTCACCTCAAATGTCAGTCCACTCTGTACAATTCTCTGGCACTTGTCTCATGGGATTTTTCCATGAACTTCAGGTCCTTTTGCAGGAGCCTCTGGGCTAAATGAGCACAAGAAGACAGCAGTGAGCACAGTGGCTCAGTCTTCCATGGCTATAGAAGAGGAACTTAATTCCTTCCTGGGGACTTTTCATCAGAATCTTGGGAGCATTCTGTGGTGCCTCATTAATGGACCAGGACATACAGAATGAGCCTCCTTTTCTCATCTCTAAAATGGGGGGGGTGCCTTAGGACTCATAGGTTTTGTTCATACATAGACTTCTATTCAACATCTCAATTGCGGTGATCTGAGCATGCTAGTATTTCTAAGTTTCCATTGTGAAATGTAAGTTTTAATAAGAGAATCCCTTTTCTGCAGGGGCCCTCCTGTGAGCCCATTACCACTAGCCTCTGTGGACTAATTGGAGTGTGGGCTTTGCTTCAGGCCCAAAACCTCCTGAGGAGCCATGTGCAGGACACCAATTCCATGTCTACCCACAGTCTCAGAAGTCAGGCAGCAGAGAGCCTGGTAGAGGTCTGTACAGGAAGCACAGTGCAGGCAGATGAGCCTCACAGCCTGAAAGTGCCTATGGAGCTGGCCTTCTGGATAGATGTGCCAGGCACAGCCTCTCCTCCTTGGACTCCTCCAGGGATGACCTCTCTATCCTATAGGCACCAAAGCTGAGAAGCTGAGTTCTTACCTTAGCAGCCCAGTGGGAATTGGTCACCTGTGGATTCAGGTCCTGGCCCTATGCAAGGGCCTCACTCAACCCTAGTTTACAGTGCCAAATGGGTCGGGACTGAGTGGATTGAGAGCTTAGGGTCACTGAGGATGAAATGGGTGCTCCATGCCAAGGGGTTAGCTGTGGCCTTGGCCCCATGAAGATCTGGTGTAGAGGCTGTGATAATTCTGATGGATGAACTTCTATCCCACTCAGTGACCAACACTTGGTGGATGCAGTTCTGTTCATCAGAAAGGAGATCGGAGAGTCACTCTGTGGACTTCAGGGTTTGTTCAACAAAGGAAATCTTGAGAATGGCAAATTGTCCATGGCTGTCAGACAGATAGGAAGAGCAGATAGGTGTTACCAACCCACAATTGTATATGAAGACACACTGTGTGCAAACATGTTTCTGGGTATTAACCAAGATTCTGTAAGCAGAGCCTGTGGAACCACTGCCCTTTTGAGTTTCGATGTTTGTGGGAGGCCACAGAGTAACCCTTGGCAGCAGAACAGATATTGCTCACCTCAAAGCCATTGTTCCAGTCTCCAGGCCTCCCTAGTTGTGGGTACAACCATGCACAAGGAGTTATACAGGGACAAAGAGAATTGGGCACTGCATCACTGCCTGAGCTAGAGACTGCAGAGATGCAGGACAGATACTGATTGATCCCTCACTTCTCAGATATTTATGGAGTGACAGCCCTGAGCCCTTGAGCGCAAAGACAGGGCAGATTGCAGTCTCTACCTTCTCCAAGCTGACTTTCATTGGGGAGGGGCAGGGAGATACTGTGTCAGGATTCCCTGAAGAATGTAGATGTATGATAAAACTAAGCAAGGTCTCCCTCCCACTGAGACTTCTTTCAGCCACTAAGGGCTCCTTGGGCCCTCACTGCCCAATTGTGGGTGGGTGAGGATGGGGCTGGACATTGTACGAACTGGGCAGGAGGTCCATGAACCCCTCTCTACAAGTGAGATGTGCAGTCATTGTGGGAGCAAAGCCCAGGTCTCTCACTCTGCTGGTTCCCTGTCTGCCCCAGTTCTTCTGTGCTTGAGGCCACATTGGAAATATATGCCCATGTGGATCCCAAGGCTGAGCTTCTCCTGGACCAGCTGGAGCCCCAGAGACTGAAGCACAGGGTAACTATCTCTGGAGTGTAGGATGCAGGGTTGTGGAGGAGGTGATGGCCTTGGAACTCAGCAAAGTTCCCAGATGCTGGGTGACCCAGGAGTATGACACACTCAGCAGTCGGTGTGGGGATGCAGTCAGGAGACTTTCCTGGGGCTGTATTGGTGCACATGGCTGCCTCTGACAGGCAGTAGGAAGGTTTTGCCCAGGAAGTCCATAGAAAGTTGGCAATGTTTTCATTTCCTGCAACTACAGGGCCAGGCTCAGCCCATGCAGAAGTTGCACCTGCAGATCTTGTGCCAGCTCTACCTGAAGCTCCCTAACCAGCTGTGATCCCAGAGCAAGAGCCAGCACCTGGATTCCTTTGTCCAGCAGCTGAAGTTCTGAGCCTCCTGGTGGCTCCATTAGGAGTCATCTCTCGAGCTCTAACTTGGAGCAGCTCTTGACCCACACCTGCCATTCCCCTCTCTTCCAGATTTACTTACTATTGTCTTCACAACTACACTTATGTACCAGAGATATGTTAGTGATAGAACAAATATAGATAAAATTTAAGATTTTAGGGTTGTTTAAAATAATCAGCTTGCTGACATTCACGGCATTCTCAATGTTGAGCAAATTTCCCCAAGTCCACTTCCAGAATATATTCTTCAAATTTTTACACAATGGTGTTTTCTTTCCCCTCTTGCCCCATCCAGTCACCACTGATTGTATGTCCTCATACTTAACCTATATTACATTTCCCACATCAATGCCATAAAGTTTTCTTTGGCCAGGAATGTTGGGTAGTGACTATAACCTATATTACATTTCCCACATCAATACCATAAGGTTTTCTTTGGCGAGGAATGTTGGTAGTGACTATCTTGGGTTAGAGTTAGGTTTAGGGTAGGTTAGACTGAGGGTTAGGGTTGGACTAAGCTCCCAATTATTGCATTATTACCCACTGTATTTGTCATAAAGAAAGGACAATCGAGACAAAGCAGCACCTTATGCTGGCAATGTCTTGGCCCTGAGCTGTGTGCTCAATGCACAAAACTTTGAGAGCAATCACTGGTGGTTGGATTGTACCACTGTGCAAAAGATAGGGCCCAATATGCATTCCATGCATCACATGTGCCCTGGTCCTAACACCAACATAATCAGTATACACTGTAAATATGTAGTAAGAAAAATATACAGTAATCTGTAAACAAAACACAAAGCAAGGAAATCCACTTCTGACATGTGGGGAAAAAAAGAGCTACTGATGAAAAATCTCACACAGAAAAGTCATGCTCTCCTTGGCCAGCAATGGTTCCTTTGTGCAAATGCAAATCTGTAGAGCAAAGCTTCAGCTGTCCTCAATCTACATCCTTGCTAATGGAATTTTGGGGGCTAATCCTCCTAAAATAGGAACATGCACTTTTATTCTTTTCTCTATGCACAACCTAACAGAGACACATAGAGGACTCACTGTGTGCTGGGTACCAGAGCTCTTCAGATGCAGATCACACTTGGGGAGACAATTAAACTCACACTGCCAATAGCTGTTGATGACTAAGTCATGGGCAGAAGGTAAAAACCAAACACAGGCAGATCTTCTGCAGGAACCCTCAGTCTGGCTCCCAAGTCCTGTATTTGTAACTCTGCTTAGACCCCTGATTTCTATCAAAGTGATCAAAACTGCTCTCTCCTCTCTGGCCCCAGGTTACAGGCAGAAGTGTGTGTAACAGTGACAGCTGGAGGTGCCCTGGTCCCTCTGTAACCGCCATCTTGGAGAAAGACTCTTGTCTTCCTCCACCTCCCTCCCTTGCCTCTCACTACATTTCAAAGGCTGCGCTGCTGCCCGGCAGTCTGGGTGGAGATGCTCAGCAGGGCCTTCAATATAGTTTTATCAACATAGTTTTATATGTGACATACTGTGTCACATACACAGATTTCCAGTAAATGGTCTTGAGATAGAAAGATGTAGTAAAAAGTGACAGCTAACTGGAATGAACCCTGCTTTATACACAAAGGCCCCATATCCCTGTGGAGGGAGAGGAAATATATTAGGTTCTTGCCCCCCTCTGTGGCCACTCAAAACTCAGCTGCCCCATTGCTGATTACACAGATTCCTGCCCCACCCCACCACACTAGGCTAAAGCCTCACCGACACAAGGACCAGAAAACTAGGTGTTTGCCTCTGGAGCCAATAGGCAGGAAAGTGAGGACACAGTGGTGCCTGGCAACTAGCTGGACAGGCAGAAAAAAGAGATGACAGTGGCCATGACCATCTTACCTGAGGGTCAGTCACTGATACAGAGGCATGTTTTGCACGGGTGAGCCTTGGGCCATCTCCTTTCCAGGTACTCTCCACTCTTGAAGGACCCAGAGACATACAAATAGCAGGGTGATGATGCTGCCAGGATTTATAACACAGTCATTTGGTTTGGGACGGAACATAGATGGATGATAACAGAGATGGATTTATCCCCAGACACAGTTGGGCTGGGGCATCCTTATTTCCCTTCCTTCAAATGTGTGGTCCAGATCTCAGGGCCCTGCTTCAATGTGTGGTGCACATAGCCTTCGTTCCCTAGCCAGATCCATTTCTGCCCATCCCACAGGAGCCATTTCAAAGTTACTGTTTCTGCTTGCATTGTGCCAGACAGAAGCATCTGCATTTGTCTCCCCACATATCCAGATATTCATGCATCACACGGTAACCCACAGATTAAGTCAGCTCCTTAGATGCTCCAAAGATACGGACTTCCAGACTGACCTTGACACCTCAATTCTGAGCACCATGTTCTGAGGAGAACTTCTAGAGCTGGGAGCTAAAATTAGGGGCTCTTCAGTCCTAAGCCCTGGACCAAGTGCAACACAGGTTGGACCCAGCTTGTCCTAGGTGATAACCAATCAGCCATACTTGTGGGAACAGGATTCTCTCTCAGACAGAATGGGATGGGAGGGGCACAGAACAGCCCCTAGGCCAGCCAGGGATAGCACAAGCCCAGCTTTGTACCCTTAGGAGGAGAATGGAATATAGCAGGAGGAGGGAGGGGTGCCTGAGGAATGAGGGAATGGAAGATGGAGTAACAGTAGAAAAAAAGACCCTGAGTTACTCATTGAGGGACACCTGATTTTGTTACCTACCATACTTTTTTTTTTCTTTTGGTCTTTTTTTTTTTTTCATTTGTTTATCGGTACCAGGTATTGAACTCATGACCACACACTTGCAAGGCAGACGCTAATGCCGCTGAGCTAAATCCCCAGCCTTCACCCACCATACCTTTTGGGTGACAGCAGACAACAGTGACACTTGACTTTGGGCAGCTACACATACACTGCCTCCTCCTGTGATTCCATTCAAAGGTCCAATAAAGATTGGAGTGGACAATGGGGGCCCTGTGTAGACAAAGGTTTGTAGGGGAATGACAAAGACAGTGTGAGAGGATGTCCTGGGCATGTGGTAGTGGTACCCACTCTGTGTTGCTCAACATGACTACCCAACACAGCCAGTGTCCAAATGCCACCCTGACCCAACACCTCGAGGCATGGATCTCCATAGCTCATTCAAGAGGGCCATCCCAATATCTTGAAAGACACTGGGTTCCACACACATCAGAGAAGGGCTGCCCAAATCTATGAGTACCATAACACCTGCTCCTGCCCTTGTTTTGTGCTCTCCCTCATGGCACTCAGCTACAACATGATGCCACATGTTAAGAACACATGGCTTGAAGAGTACTTGGGGGGAATTACCTTGATCAGGGTTTGTGCTGGGGAAGGGATCTCCCTGCTATGCATTAGTGCTATGCCTGGTGTTAACACATCATGACACATAGGAAAAGTGAGTCCCCATGGGTTCCGGGATCAAGGGAGGCTATGATATGCTGGTAAGTAGCTCCACTGTGTGAGAGTGAGGCCAACAGAAAATATTGTCCTCAGCCTCCAGCCTGGAACTGACTCACCTCAGACCATGTTCTGGGCAGTCTGTTCAAGAACTACATGTCTGCTGCTTGGGGAGCTGCGTTCCAGGTCCAGGTCAGAACATTTGAGAACTTTCATGCACTGTGGGGTACAAAAGAGGAATGGAATTGGGGAAAATGTCCATCACAGGGCATAGGAAGTGATCACCATGGCACAGGTATATAACTTGTTGTCCTTTCTAAAGCTGTACCCCAACAGAGATTTTGACTTTAGGATATGATGCATGGCTTGGAACAAGGCACAGAGACTTTAGTTTTGTGGAGCATTAAAGTGCCCTGTGTCTGCAGCATGAAATTTTTTCAGAGTTAGGGAGGTGAATTGGTATTTTAGTGGGTAAGATCCCCAGAGAGAAGAAACCACATGGAGTCAACATTAGCAACAGCAGTAAGCAAGCATCTTTATTACCCAGCCTGTATATATCAGCCATCATCAGGCATTAAATTCTTGAATAGTGTCTCAAGCCTGAGCACATCCATGGCTGTCTATGTTAACTCATGCTCATATAACTATGTCCATGGTGTGCACATGCTAATCGGTTGGGTCAGATCCCATAGGTCCTCATACCTTTTGGTGTTGAAGCAGTGTGCAGTGGTTTCTCACATTCCATAACCTCAAAGATCAGGGAAAATGTGCTTATTGTAAGTGAACCATAGGGTGGGCTCATGCACACAAAGACCATGACAACAATAAATGTAAAGAATAATACCACTAATCATTCCACAGTGCAGCTTATGGCCACCCAGAGCCAGGTGGATCCCAAGGATTCCCACCACTGCATGAGCAGGTCCTGCTGCAAGGCATCAAGGACACAAAACTCCATGTCCATTTCTTTTTATCTTTTACATTTTTTTAAATTTAAAGATAGAAAATAAAACTAAAGGAAACAAAATATAAAAAAGCAAAAAAAGTGTAGAATATAGAATTCAAAAAAATTAACCCCTAAAATTACTAGTTGATGCATTACATATTGTCATCTTAAAAAGTTGTTAAAGTTACAAAAACAAAGCATAAAAAGTAGCTAAATACTGAAACATTGATGGGCAAACCCTTCTGTTCAGTGATCTAACAGAAATTTAGTAATATGGTCATCTATCTTACACAGTATACACATCATTATATCATTGAGAGCCCATTTCTTTGCTTTTGCTTTTACAATATATATTATACTTTTTGGATCCCAATTCTTTGTCAGTTTTTCTTATTTTTTACACTATTGAGACAATGAGAGAGGATATTCTCAAGTTACTTTCATTTACTTATAAAGGCCTTAAATCATCCTTTTCTATAGCTGAGTAGTATTCCATTGTGAAAAAACACAATTTTTTCATCAACTTGTGGTTGATGGCATTTTGGTTGTTTCCAAGATTTAGTTATCACAACTGTGTTGCACATATCATTGCACATATATCACTGTGAAATAATTTTTTCAAATTTTCAGGGAAAATACCTTGAAGGGGAATAGCTGGATTGAATGGAACATCCAATCTTAGTTTTTTGAGGAATTTCCACACTAATTTGCACAGTGCTTTTATCAGTCTGCATTCCCACCAACAGTGGACAAGTGTTCCTTTTTCCTTTCATGCTGCTAAAATTTGTTTCAGTTGATTTCTTGATGTCAGTCATTCTTTCCAGAGTAAGATGAAATCTCAGTGCTGTCTTAATTTGCATTTATCAAGTGACTAATGATGGTGAACATTGCTTTATGCATTTATTTGCCATTTGTATATCTTCATCTGCTAACTGTGTACTTACCTCTGATACCCATTTTTGAAAAGGGTCTTTGAAATATTTTTCAATTCTTTCTGTGTTCTGCATACAAGTCCTTTGTCGTCTATCCAGATTCTTTCTGACTCTGTGAGGGTTTCTGGACTTTATTTGATTTCTATTTAAGTACTAAAACTTTTTAGTAATATGAGATCCCAGTTGTTGATTCTTTGAAGTATTTACCATGTGGTTGTGTATTATTAATGAATTCTCTGCCTACTCCTATGTCTCCAAGATTTCTATCTACCATGTCCTCCAGTAGATTTTTGTTTCTTTTTTAATATTAAGATCCTTGAACCACTTTGACTTTCGTTTAGTGTATGGTGATAGGTATGGGTCTAGTTTCAGTCTTTAGCATGTAATGTCAATTTTTTGAACACCATTTATTAAAAAAGTTGTCTTTTTCCAGTGAATATTTTTAGCCCCTTTGACAAATTTAAGGTGGCTCTGTGTCTTTGTTGTAGTGTTTGCATCTTCTAATCTGTTCCATTGATCCTCAGGTCTATTTCTCTGCCAGTACCATGCTGATTTTATTATTGTGGCTTTGTAGTATAGTTTCAAGTCAGGAATTGAGATGAGTCTTGTCTTTCTGTTGTTGCCCAGAAATGCTTTTTTTATTCTAGATTTCTTCTGTTACCAGATGAATTTCAGAATTATTTTCTCTAGATATAAAGGTATGTTAATGATATTTTGATTGGAATTGCATTGAATCTGTATAACAGTTTTGGAAGCATGGCCATTATCACAATATTGGCTCTTCCTAACGAAGAGCAAGAAATATCCTTCCATTTTCCAATATCCTCTTGAATCTCCATTTTCAGAGTAATATAATTTTCAGCATACAGGTGTTTTACATTTTTAGTTAGGTTGATTCCTAAGTATTTCATTTTTTTAGATGCTATTGTGAAAGCTGATATTTTCATAATTTTTCTTTCATGGAGTTTTTTGTTTGTGTACAGGGATGTTATTGATTTGTGAGTGTTGACTTTCTATCCAGGTATGCTGCTGAATTTGTTTGTTGCCTCTAGTAGTCTTTCAATTGAAATTTTGGGGTCTTCTACGTAGAGTATCATGTTGTTGGCAAATAATGATAATTTAACTTCTTTCCCTAATTTTATTCTTTTTATTTCTCCCTCTGTTCTGATTCCTCTGGCTAATATTTCCAGAACTATATTGACTAGGAGTGGTGACAGTGGACATCATTGTCTTGTTCCTGATTTTAGTGTGAAGGCTTTCAGTTTTTGTCTATTTAGTATAACACTGGCTGTAGGTTTGCAATAAATGGTCTTTAGACTTTGAGGTATATAGCGTCTATTCTGAGTTACTGTAGGGTTTTTATTGTGAACAGGTGTTGTATTTTATCAATAGCTTTTTCTGCATGCATTGCAATGATTAGGCGATTTTTATTTTTGGCTCTGTTGACGTGATGTATCACATTCATTGATGTGTGCATGTTGAACCATCCCTGCATTCCTGGAATAAATCCTATTTGGTTATATTGTATAATCTTCTTGATGATTTGCTGCATTCTATTTGTCTATATTGTATCGAGAATCCTTGCATCATTGTTCATTAGTGAGATTAGTCTATAGTTCTGCTATTTGATCTCTTTCTGGTTTTGGAATCAGAATGACACTTGCTTCTAAGAATGAGTTAGGGAGGACTAATTCTCTTTCAATTTCATTGAAGAGTTTAAGGAGTGTTGCAGTCAGATCTCTGAATTTCTTATGGAATGCAGCCCTGAATACCCCAGGATCTGGGCTTTTATTGTTGGTAAGTTTTAATCACATTTTTGATTAATGTAACTGATATTTGGTTACTCAAAATTGTTATATATTTTTGATTGAGCCTTGATAGTTCATATTTCTACAAATGTATTTCCTCTGCTTTGCACCCCATGTGAGTAGACATTCTCAAGGTGGGGGTTCTTGATGTTTTGAATTTCCATGGGATCTACAGTAATTTTTCTCTTTTCAGTCCATATTGTGTGGATTTTTTTCTTGATAAGCTTGGCTAGAGTTATATCAATTTTATTTTCTCAAAAAGCAGCTTTGATTCATTAATTCTTTGTAATTTTTTGGTTTCAATTTCATTAATTTCTGCTCTAATCTTTATAATTTCCACTCTTCTATGAACTTTGGGTTTGACTTGCTCTTCCTTTTCTAGAAGCTTGAGATATAGCGTTAGTTTATTTATTTGTGTTCACTCCATTTTCTTAATGTGACTACTTATTACTATATATTTCCCACTTAGGACTGCTTTCATTGTGTCCCATAGGTTGTGGTATGTTGTTTCTGCATTTTCATTGTATTATAGACGTTGTTTTATTTCTCCTTTAATTTCATCTATAACCCACTGGTTGTTCAGGATTGTTATTTAATTTCCTTGTATTTAGGCAGTTTTTTCAGGGAATTTTGCCATTGATTTCCAGTTTTAGTGCACTATGGTCCCATAATATGCATGATATAATTTTGCTCCATTTGCATTTACTTAAAAATATTTTATGGGATAATATATGGTCTATTTTGTAGAATGTCCCATGTGCAGCTGAGAAGAATGCATGTTCTGATGTGGTTGGGTGGAATACTATGTAAACATCCACTAAGTGTATTCGTGCACAGGTATCATTTAGTTATGTTATTTCTTTGCTGACTTTTTGTCTAAGTTGATCTATTTCTTTGTGACAGTGGGGTGTTAAGGTCTCCTATTACAATTGTGTTCTTGTTTGTTTAGCTTTTCATGTCCATTAGTATTTGTCTAACATAGTTGGGTCCTCCTGTATTTGTTTCAAATATAATTATAATTGTTAGTTCTTCCTCTTGTAGTTATCCATGTAAAGGTTTGTAGTGGACTTCATTATCTCTTTTAATCATTTTGTGTTTGAACTTCACTTTGTCTGCAAACAGAATAGCTACCCCTGCTCTTTACTGGGCTCCTGGTGCATGGAAACTCTTTTCCATGCTGTGACTTTTAATCTGAGTTTCTTTTTCAGTCATATGTGTTTCTTGTATACAACATACTCTGGGATCCTATTTCTTGATGCATTCTGTCAACCTGTTTCTTTTGATAGGTGAGTTGAGCCCATTTACATTTATGGATATCACTAATATATACTGCTTTGACTTTGCCATAGTGTGTTCCTGTTATTGGTTTCCTGCTTTTCTGCATTATTTTGTTTCTTGTCCAGCCTGGTGGTTTCTTTCTGTTGTTCTGGAGATTGTGGTCATTTTTACCCCTATCTTGCATGTCTTTCAGTATTCTTTCTAGGGTTGGTTTGATGGACATGAATTGATTCAGTTGTACTTTGTCATAGAAGT